AGCACTGACCTGGGTAACTCACCCCTGGGGATGAAGTTATACAAGAAACAGTGCCTGTTCTCAGGCAGACAGAGCGGTTGAGTCAATCAGGAGTTTGCAAAATCCAAAGGCAAAGTCAGGTGTATTGAAGTACATCAGGGTTTTATGTGGGGAGAGAGGGCTGCATGAGCTGCATCTTAAGGGATGGGCAGGATTGCAGAGAGGAGGGGAGCAAGGAATGGCCTAGACCCGTGGTCGGCAAACCGCGGCTTGCGAGCCACATGTGGCTCTTTGGCCCCTTGAGTGTGGCTCTTCCACAAAATACCACGTGCGGGCACGCACGTACAGTGCGATTGAAACTTCGTGGCCCATGCGCAGAAGTCGGTATTTTGTGGAAGAGCCGGTATTTTGTGGAAGAGCCACACTCAAGGGGCCAAAGAGCCGCATGTGGCTCGCGAGCTGCGGTTTGCTGAGCAGCAGTTTGCCGACCGCTGGCCTAGACAGAGACAAGGGGCAGAGGCAGGTGGACAAGAGTCAGCTGGCCAGTCGGACTGTCACGCAGGGGTGCAGGAGGGGACCTGAAGGTGGCAGGGGAGACCGAAGCATCGGAGGAATGTGACCATGTGGGCTCCATCCAGGGGCTGCAGACCCCGAATTGGCGAGCTGCTGGTGTAGACCAGCGAGACCGTTCGTGGGAGCAGGTTAGATGAGAACCTGTTGTGTTCCTGGCAAGAGATACGATTTAGGTGTGAGCAGTGAACATAAAACCAAGAAAGTAAAGCAAGAGAGATATTTTAGAAGTAAAACGGGGAGAACTTGGCTTCTCACCAGTTGTGGCATCAGGGAGAAAGTCGGGTGTCTGGTGACAAAGGTTTTAGGAGAAGTTAGGCTGTAGTTATCAGCCATAGTCAGGGCATGCGATGGGTTTAAATCACTGTAAGGAAGTCATAGGCAGACCAGGCGAGGGCTCCAGGAGAGACACAGAGCGGGAGAGGTGGCCCAGAGGAGGAAATGCTGACATCCAGCCGGGGGAATGTGGAGGCCCTGCCACGGGAGTGATGGCTGAGAGGGGTCCTGAAGGCGGGGTGACCTTTCCCAGGATGTGATGTGATGTGATGGGCCAGGCTGGTTCTCCCAGGAAGGGTCGGCCCCAGTGCGAGCGGAGATGTAAAAGGGGGGTTTGCCTGTGCCCGGAGCCCTTGGGAGAGGAGGCCTGGGAGGGCAGGCTGGGTCCCAGGGAAGTGGCCTGAATGCCAGGCCCAGGTGTTGACCTAATTGAGCAGGCCATGGGGAGCCACGGCAGGTTGTAAACTTCCCGCTTGGTTCCACCAGAGCTTTCAAAGGGAAGAATGCATTCCTTTTGGTGGGGGAGGGCAGATGGGATGAATGGCTGTGTTTGATCTGAGAGAGTAACCGAATTTGTCACATGGCATTTCTGCAGCGGAGAAAAGAACAAAGTTAAGTACACAAGGGCGCTCCACAGGTGTGCGGCTGTGTACAGGCACGCACGCTGCCATTTGTCATTGGTGCGGGGCCCACCCCTCAGGGAGGCCGGGGCCCAGGCAGAGGCTGTTGAGTGAGCACAATAGCAGAGGGTACCTGTGGACGTGTCCTTCTTTCAAAGAAGGAAGCGGAGGTTCCATGGAGCACTTTTTGATCTTCACTTAATCTTTATTTTATTCTATTGCCTCATGCCTCCTATTAGCTTTTCAAAATTAGGATGGGGTTGCTACTGCCGCTCAATGCCCAGATGCACACACAGAGCTAAAGCTGAGTCATGTGGTGTCTTTGTGTTTCCACAGCATAAAACTGAAAATGTGGAGCCTTGTTGCTTACCATAGCCTGGAGTCAATTCAGTGGATGGCTAAACAGGAAACAGTAAATTAACTAGTTAACACGTGAAAAATAAGAACTGCTCTTCTCTAAGGTTTCTCACGAGCATCTGCAGAGCTAAAGAATTTCCAGGAGATGGTCATGCTGCCATTCTTCAGCTCTAAAAATGCTGAGTTGTCGCACTTTCATCATTTGAGATAGTTTTGAGGGGTATCTTTTTGGGGTTAGTGTTTCATCGATGCAGAGTTATTAAGTTGGAGGTGATCTTTATGTAAGTGGTATATTAGAATCAAGGAGGTTTTCTGCCTAAACATCACCCCCAAACCCCCACCCCCAGTGTTTGCAGGAGCCCCAGAGGGCTTCACCAGATCACACAGCCCAGGGCCCCTCTGACGCCCCCTCTGGAGCCCAGAGGGGAGTGGTGCGCCTCTGTGCCCTCCTCGGTGCTGGGAAGGGTGGAGGCAGCTGGCCCCATAGCTTGAGCCTCTCCAGGCCCCACCACTTGAGCCTCCCCAGACCCCACAAGCTCTAGGATCACTCACTGCCTGTCGGTGTCTCAGGAACCAATTGCCCTGGGCTCCCTGTCTGGGATTTACTCCTCCAGACTTCATCTCTCCATCGCAGACAAGGCGTCGCTGGTGAATGTTTAACAAGCCCTGTAAATGCTCCCTCCAGCGTTGGAGGGGAGCTGGGAAGAGATGTGAGTAATCGGCTCTAATCCCATGGGAGCTGGCTCACCACCCGTCCCAGGGGCCTGGGTTTCAGTAGGTCGGGACCCCAGCCGGACACCAGTAGGTCGGGCTGCTCAGCTGTTATCTTCCAGAGTTCCCTTGAGGCATGTTAGCTGTCCTGGCCTCTTTGGCTCCCAAGGCTCCATCAGGGAACCTCAGGATGAGCAGGTGGCTCTGGCTTGGTTTGCTGGTGGTGGTGGTGGTGGACAGAAAGGCCAGGCACAGTCCCTTCCTAGCTCAGCTTTTGATGGGATGATGGCCTGGACACTCATTTGCCTTATCCCTGATGGTTAAAAACATGTAAATACTTAGAAAGCATCCTATATAATAAAACCCTAATATGCAAATAGACCAAAATGACCGGTCGCTATGACGTGCACTGACCACCAGGGCGCAGATGCTCAACACAGGAGCTGCCCCCTGGTGGTCAGTGCGCTCCCATAGGGCTCGCTGCTCCTAGTGCTGCCACGGAGGTGGGAGAGGCTCCCGCCTCGCTGCTGCGCTCGAGGTCCCGGAGTGCGAGAAGGTGCAGGCCAGGCTGAGGGCCCCCCCGCCGCCCCCCTGCCTCCAGTGCATGAATGTCATGCACCAGGCCTCTAGTTTTTAATAAAAGTGAGTCTGGTAGGGAAAAAGAATGTTAATGAAAAAAGAGCTATTCCTGGACCCTACAGCGTTTACGTGGCAACCCTAAATGCGCCTTAAAATAGTCTAAGTTATACCGGAGAGAATGTTAGAAAAGTAATCAGGAACCCCAGTCCTGAAAACTACAACTTTGGGAAGGAGTAGAGGGAGACGGGGGAAGGGAGGCGAATGAGGCCGTCTGGAGACGCTGGAAGCAGGATGGTAAATGACCTTTGCTGCCGTCTGTTTTCATAGGATTTGCCCCTGGAAGAGGCTGTTCTGGAGAGCACAAAAGCCACAGGTAAGGCAGGAGCACAAAAGCCACAGGTAGGAGGGCTGCCGGCTGGGCCCAGTGCCGGCCGCTGTCCTGTCCACGGCAGGAGGCATTTGGCCCCTACCCCACCCCTGGCCTGAGTCCACACAGTTTTATGTCTTCCAGCCCGAGTCAGCTCTGCTCCCAGAGGTGTGTGTAGACTGGGCTACTTGTCCTCCCTCCCTCCCCTTTGTTTTCTTACCTCTTTCTCCTTTTTTTAAAAAAAAATATATTTGATTTCAGAAAGTAAGGGAGAGGGAGGGAGAGAGAGATAAGAAACATTGATGATGAGAGGGAGTCATTGATCCACTGCCTCCTGCACGCTCCTACAGAAGCCAGGCATGTGCTCTAACAGGGAATAGAACCAGTGAACTCCTGGTTCACAGGTCGATGCTCAACCACTGAGCTCTTACCCCCCTTCTCTTCCATGCCAGCGAGCCTGCACAGATGTGGAGTTGGTGGCCTGGAGAGTTCATCTCTGGAGCCTTCCTAAAAAAAACAAAAAACAAAAAACAAACCTGTTGCCCGGCCTGGGAAGCCTGGTGCTGGCCTGTACTAGGAGTGAAGACGGAAGAGAGCTCCTTTGGGTGGGAAAGGCAAGATCACAGGGGAGAGGAGGGCGCCTTTAAAGTGAGGAGGTCCTGAGCGCTTGGGAGCAGGGCTCCTTGGGGCGCTTTGGGAACGATGGAAAACCATGTCCTTCCCTCCAACCTCAGAGGACCCAGGCAGGGGTCCTAGGGTCTCTCATCTTGGCCGCTTGGCTCCCCAAATGCCATCCTCATAAACTCTTTATTGTTTTTTTTTTCTTTTTCCTTTTTAATAGCTGTGACTTTTTTCCCCAGGTGGGAGAAAAGCTTTTTTTGAAGCAAGCAGCATTATTCTTAGGGATGTCTGGAATAATGATTCAGGCTTTACAGGGGCTGCGGCTCTTCATTGAATACCTCACCTTCCTCTTACTAGTCCCTGGTGCATACAGACTCCTGGGGACTATGTTGATGCATCACGTAATGCACCTGCCCTCACGGTTGGGTGGGTGGTGATTGCTCTTCCCAGAACTGCAGCTAAACCCCAGCTCTGGAATGTGCCACGGGGAGGGCAGGATCTCCCTTAACCGTTTCCTCCTTCCGTGTCTCTTGATCGCAGTGGAATCCTGCCAGCCGAGGCTGAGCTTATGTACATCAACGAAGTGGAGCGCCTGGATGGATTCGGACAGGAAATCTTCCCCGTGAAGGTAGCGTCCGCTGGCCTGGCCTTGCGTCAGTCTTCTGAGAAGGGCACAGGCATTTGGGAAACCGGTGTTGATAGTAGCAGGCAGAACGGCCTGGCTTTCTCTCTGCCACGTGGCATTAGTTGGCAAGTCCGGTGTACGTTACTAAAGCGGATTTTTTTTTTTTGTAACTGAGAGATTTTGATTGGATGGGTTTCAGGAGAAGAATATCTCATTTATATGCTATGAGTGAGTACCAAACACCAGCCCATCCTGCACAGTGAAGGGGGCAAGGCCAGGGGACAGGGAGCTAAGGTCGCATGTGCCTTAATAAAGACCCTCCCCTCGAGGTCTCTTCCCCATCCGTATTCCCTCTCCTCTTCTTTAAGCTGATACCCATGGTTTCGGGCGTCCTTTATGCACCCATGCTTTCTCTCTCCTGTCCGAGAGAGCCTCCACTGTGGGTGTCCAGTCCCCCTGGTGTTCTCTGGAAACTGTGCACAGGAAACTGTTACAGCATGTCACCTCCTTTTCAAAAAAAAATCCACCTCCTGAAGTGGGTGTGGTTTTGGGGCGGGGGGGAGGTCATGGTGCACGGGGCGTTTATACAGCTGAGCCCATAAGCCAAACTCGTTTTCCTCTCTCTGCTGACCAACTTTGCAAAAGATGGCGTTTTTGTATCAGAAACCTAAAGCAACTGGCACGTGTCAGCAGTTTGGGAGACGCCTGCCATTTCGGCATAAACATTTCGCTCCAGGCTGGCTCCGCTGGCTGTTTTATAAGCGTTCCGTCCCCCCTCTGCTGCGAGTTTGCAATTTGCCGTAATGAGAACGGCCCGTGTGCATCAAGTAGAATGGAGCGGGGTGGCCGCAGCTTGTGGAAAGGGCTAAATGGCTCCTTTTCAGATGTGTTTAATTTTCTTTCGCTTCTCTCGTGGCCGCCCTTCGTGGGGCTGGAACCCATTTTCCTTGCCATAATGCCTTAGACGCCATCTGCATCCCACTTACATTTCAGCAGCCCATCTACAGTCATGGTGCTCTGGGTCACGGAAATAGAGTAAGCTGTTCTCCACTTCCAGAAAACTGACTTCCAGTCCCTGGGAGTGGGGGGTTTTGTCGTGGTGGTCATTTGCCTGTTTTGATTTCAGTGCTGCTGAATTGTGGGAGGGAGGGGCAGTGGAGATAGTGTGTGGAATCCACTGTGCTTGGTTCTGATGCACTTTCTAGTATGTTCCTTACAGGGCGAAGTCCAAGGGGACACCGTACCTTACCCTGAGTGGGCAGACAGGCATCGCTGACTCACTGCCCGTGGGCGTCAACAAGCTGGGCTTCTTTTTCCTCTTTCCTTTCCCCCCCACATTTCTGTGCATGACTAAGGTGACCACCTACACACCACAGGATTCCTGGCAACCCGAGGAGGAGGGGCGGGTCAGCGGTGCCAGTGGGGGCAGGGATGTGGTCAGCGCTGAGACAGTGGGCAAGCAGACAGGACAGAATGCAGGGACAGACTGCGGGGAGGCAGTCCCTGCGGGTTTGTGCAGGTCCCGTTGACCAAGGAAAGTATAAAACCCTCTGATGGCGTCCGAGGGGAGGACATTTCCGTTTAGCGAGGGCTTTTCCATGAGTGGCTCCTTAAAGATGCTCGAGGCTGGAGGAGGATGAATCTGGCTCCCAGCAGGCCTGCCCGCCTCTCCACAGACACAGGTGTGGCGGCTGCCTCAGTGGCTCCTGTACAGTCAGAGCACATGGGCATGGGGAGGGTGCTCTGGAGTGAGTCAGAGTCTGGAGTCTTGGTCCTTGGCGAAGTCCAAGGTCGAGCCCTGCGGTTCTGCCCAGTGCAGTGCCCCAGACGTCCGTTCTGAGCTTTTCCCACCCTGTCATCTGCTCTTCCTGGGTCCGCGTCCCCACCAGGCTCTGGCCGATCTGCTGGCAGAGTGCCTGGGGCAGCTTTCCCCAGGATTTTCCTTTCTCCTCCCGTCTCCACGTCACCTGCCTTCTTCTCCCACATGTTTTCCTGTCGTATAACTTCCCTCCTCATTTCTCATACTGACAAGGTCCCCTTTCCCCTTCCCAGTTCTTTCTCTCCCGACTCTTTCTGCTTTGGCCGCCAGCAGGGTCTCACCTTTCTCCATCTCGGTTGGAAGACTCCTATTCAGTGTTAGCTTTGAGAGGTGGGTTGAGAAGAGATCACTGAGAGGGGACACGGGGCCAGGCAGATTATATGCAGTGAAGCCACAGTCCACGTGCCTCTTCCATGTTCACAAAGCTCTCAACCAGCGTTTAGCATCCCATGCTGGACTGTGAATAATAGATAGTGAAGCATCACCCTACATGATGCCCTAATAGGAACCCCAGTGGCCAACACTGTGAGAGCAAAGCCTAGAAGACAGAGATTCTGTAGGATGAAGAACCCCCTGACCAAAATACCATCCTGTCAATCAAATCACACACACACACACACACACACACACACACACACACACACGCGTATTACCTCTTTATAGGAATAGATTGCTTTTAAAAAGAAAATAAAACATCTATCAGAAATTAAAAATGTGATATCGGAAATGGAAACTGTAATAAGTTAGAAGATAAAATTCAGAAAATCTCACCAAAAAACAAAGCAATGGGACGTGGGAGGCAGAAGATAAAATTAGAGGGCCAGCGCAGGATGTCCAACATCTGAATAATAGGAGTTCTACAGGGAGTAAACAGGAAGCACGAAGTAGTAATTCGAGAAAACTTCCCAGAACTGATAAATGTGAGGTTCTGAAGTAAAAAGCCAAGCTTAGTGGGCTCATATAAGATACACACTAGGGTGTTAGTTGATGTAAGTTGGTGCCTCCAAGGGAGAGGAAACTGTGGGTCCATCTAGGCCTGCTGTTGGCTTCTTTTAAACAAGCTCTAAAGAATATTCAATTCTTCCAATTATGTGCATATATCATTGCATGTATGTAACGTGCATATATAATCAAGCTATGTGCATGTACAATTTTAGTTTAGAAAACAGAAACCAGGGTAAACATAGATGTTCATAGATGTTCCCAAAAGAGAACATCTGAACAGCCAACAAATCTGAGGAAAACCCTAAAATTATTTTAAACAGGAAAGGTGTGGTGACAGATTGAGAAAAATGTATACCTCGTACGTTAGGATGTACAGTGGGGCGCATCCCTTCAGGATCTAGTTGCCTGATTGCCATGCTGCTGTGACTCATTTGATTTATGGGCGAGAAACAGGGCATGTTCCCCACGGGTTGCTGAGGCCCAGTGCTGGGTGCTGCTGGACCACTGGGCATCTGTTTCATCACCGCTATCTTTCCTTGATCTCCTACAGGACAATCATGGAAACAGTGTGCACCTGGGCATTTTCTTCATGGGGATTTTTGTGAGAAACAGAATTGGAAGACAAGCAGTAATACACAGGTAGTCTTATTTTCTTTCTCCTCCCTTCCCCCCTTGTCTTTTATTTCATTGAGGAACTAGACAAAAACCCACTACATAGAAAAGTTATTCAAATGATTGAATCCCACTGTTGATCAGAGTTGAGCTCTTCTCAACTCAGTTAAGATCAGCCCTCTGTGGGATTTAAGTGGTGGTGATGGGGAATCTTATCTCACTTTTCCTGGAGGCCTGTTTGGGAGTGGAGGGGGGGGGATGGGGTGGGGGAGGCCTTCTTCCCACCTCTGACCCAGGAGGTGCATCATTGAACCCCATTGACCCAGGAGAATGGGGACTAAATTTTATGAGTCCGTTTGGAGACAGGCTCTCCAGTTATCTCTTGCTGGTTCCCTTTGCTGGAATCTCCATGACCAGTCATTCAGTTCAGACTGACTGCTTCCCCTTGTCCTAACCACAGGTGCTAGAAGAGCGCTAACTAGTTTCTAGATTCACAAAAGAGGGTTAGTTATGAAGGTGTGTTTTGAAAAAGCAACCGATTTGTTACAAATTAAAGGACGTTGGGACTTTTTACTGTCTTGACCCTTTAACTCTCTTTTCCGTGTAACATGCGTAGAACTAATATAGGGGTATGTCCGAGTGTCCCCTCAGTGACATGCCAGTGAGCTGGCTTTGTATCCGTGCCCATAGACCCCATGTTCGTCAACAATCTGAAACAATCGCCTGCTCGCTTTTATTTACAAGGGAAGACATGTGGCCTGTTATTTTTTGGAAGAACAGCTTTCCTGTGTGTGCATCTGGCAGGCATAGCTGTGCACTAGGGTAGAGGATCCAAGAGGGTCTTGGAGGGAAACACATAGAGAATAAATATTCTATGGAAGCCCTGGAGGTAAGCCTGGGCCAGCCACCTGCTCTCTGGGTCAGCGGTTGCCGCAGGTCATTTTGAGACACGTTTCCTACCAAAGGCTCCCTAATGGGCTTTTTTGTCCCCCCAGGTCTCCGCTCTGCCATTACTGTTGTCCTTTATTTTTTCTTGCTCTTTGATTAGAGACATCATTGAAGCGTGAGTGTGGAGAGAGATCTGTGGGGCTACTGAGTAAATTTGATTTTTGGATATACTTAGTCAACCCCATACAGCAACAAGAAATTATAAATTAATTGAGTAAAATATAGAAATACGTGCAGAGTTGTAACTATAACATTTGGTGCATATCTAAAGCTATCCAGGTATTTGGTTCCACACAGTTCTCCATAGCTCGAGAGAATAAAGACTCTCTTGAACTAGAAACTTTCCAATACTTGCCGAGTGCTCACTTCAAGATAGTGGTGCTGAGTTCTCCATAGCTAAATCAGTGCTTTATTTTTATTTTTTTTCCTTGAGCCTGGAGACGTAGACAAGTCTTGCCTTATAGCTAGCGAGGTTAAATAGAAGAAGATAGCAATTTGAAAGTTGGCTGGTCACAAGCCACACACAGGATGTGTTCAGTCTCCTTGGGAACTGCTTCCAGACCGCTTCCTTTAGTACTTATCATGACACTCCTCACACGGTGGGAATTTATTTCTGCGATAATGCCACGTGAATCAGGCCATAGGTGAAGTCATATGGTGGAGTGAGGAGTGGATTCGGAGTTTTGGCAGTGGACTTGAAGGAATGGAGCCAGAGGAAACCAAATACTCTCTTCTCTAGAGACCTTCACTGAGAAGCATATAGCTTTGTGTCCAGATAGATGTGATCTGATGGGATTGTAGGTTGGCAGACAGCCGTGCTGAGCACCTGGAGCCGGTATGGCCCCAGCAGATGTACATAAACACAGTTGGTACTGGTGTCACGGAAAGGTGATTGGAGGAACATCTGGGAGCCCCAGGTATAGAAGTCACCCATCCCTGGTGAGCAGAGTGAGTGTGCCTAAGTCATGTACTCACATGCGTCTAAATTGCCTCATCACCAAACTAGAAGCAATAATAGCTGCCTTGTCTACCGTAGAGAGTTGATCAAGGAACCGTACTCTGTACAGATGGGAGGCAATATTATTACGTTCAATGCTTTCAGCAAACATTGAGCACCTGCTGTGTGCCAGGTACGCGGCTCCGTGCTTGGAATACAGAGATGTGGAAAGCAGAATCTACCTGGGGCATGGACTTGTGGTCTAGTTCGGTTTCATCAGGGGGCTAGTCACAGAAGTAAGCAGTCATGATGCAACGTGGTAGCCGGGAGAGGGCGACACCAGTCTCTTTCCTAGCATGTGGGTGGGTGGGGATGAGGAAGGGCTGCCGAGAGAAGGCGACTCCTGAGCTGAGTTACGTGGATCATCCAGGCAGAGGGGGAAGTGTGACGAGGAAAAGCGCGATGGAGAGCAGTCAGTGGGCAGGAGTTATAGGTTGGGGCACAGGGTAAAGGGTAGGCAGTAGTGAGAGCCGGTTAGAAATGGGCTCCAAGTAGAATGGGAAGCAGTAGCTTACCTCCCCTTGTCTGGTGGTTATTTCTGTGTATCACCCTTTAGATAAGGTCTTCATGAGGAAAGAGAAGGAGTGTGTGTGTGTGTGTGTGTGTAGTTCACAAAAATGTAGGCACATTAAATATTCGCCTCCCAGGCATGTTTCCTAGGTGATGTGTCAGTGATGTACATGACAGCACAGAATCCACGTGGATTCTTCACCTAGATTCCGGAATAATGTGTTTCTCCATCATTTAAAGCCAGGATAGCAGGAGATCCTTTGTCAGTTTGGAACTGGGAATAACAAGGCAGCAGAAGTCTCTGACAAATGTCCCCCCTACTAGACAACAATATCTAGATACTGTTTGCATAGGAGTTTTTAGCTATTTCAATAGATTCGGGTTGCACTTTCTATACTCTCGGCCTTGAGAGAAGGAACATTTTGCTTTTGAAAATATAGCTAGGTCATCATTTATAAAATCAGCCAGTGACCCGCCTGTGAGGATTCATAAATGCATGGACTGTCTTGGGGCCAACACGGTTGCCTTTGTTTTTCTCAGGTGGAACGACATGGGGAATATCACTCATAACAAGTCGACCATTCTGGTGGAGCTCATCAACAAGGAAGAGACTGTGCTCTTCCACACGGTAAGTAAAGCGCACGCAGGCAGGGCCCGGCCGGCAGCTCGCCCCTTGGCTTCTCAACTCGTAGTGTCCTTCCTTGCTTTCCGTAACTTGAGCGAATAAATAAATGTTCTATGGAACCGAAACTTCCAGCCTCTGGCCCAGTGCTGTCATTCCTCACTCCAGGATAATGATAGTGATTTCACATTCAAATCGCCTGCTTTCCAAGCTGAGGTTTGACTCTCGGATTGGGGTTCCTCCCCCTGCCTTCTGTGTGATGGATCGCATTGTCTGTCTGGCAGGCCACGTTCCTCAGCACTCTAGTTACAGCCCTCATCAAGCAACCTCTGATTCTGTTGCCTGGCATTTTCTTTTGCTGGCTGACCTGGGTTTTCTTTCCCAGCATCGCCCAACCTTGTCTGAAGTCAGCTGAGCGATGGCCCTTCTGTTGAGGGCCTCCTCCAGAGCCAATGCTGTGCAGCTCCCCGCCTCTCATTTAATGATGCTTGTTGCTCATTCCACGCTCTACCTTCATTCATTTTTATTTTTATTTATTTTTTAAAATACATTTTTATCGATTTCAGAGAGGAAGGGAGAGGGAGTGAGAGATGGAAACATCAATGTTGAGAAAGAATCATCGATTGGCTGCCTCCTGCACGCCCCCTATTGGGGACTGAGCCCACAACCCGGGCATATGCCCTTGACCGGAATCGAACCTGGGGCCCTTCAGTCCACAGGCCGACGCTCTAGCCACTGAGCCAAACCAGATAGGGCCATTCATTCATTTATAAAGCACTTAGTTTGGAATTATGTGAAGACATGCCAGTTCATCACTGTGCTCCCAAGGCCTTGGGCATAAAGGATTCTTTAGCAGACAGTACTGTCTCGTTGTCCTTTGATGGGCTTCATGCCCATGGCTGCCACTGAATCTTCAGCACGTTGGTGTGTGGCTCAGGGTGTTAGTTTGTGATTGACAGGAAGGGATGAGTCCCTGTTTAGGGAGTCCTTGTCAAATGCATATATAATCAAAGGAATGTTTATTTTTTCCTCTGTCTTTTCCAAGGATGACATTGAAAATGCCAAGTATATCTCTCGGTTGTTTGCTACACGGCACAAGTTTTACAAACAAAACAAAATCTGCACTGAGTAAGTAAACGTTCCGTCTGCCCTCTGAATGGAAGGTTTGGTCCGATTAAATGCCTGTGCTTTGGGGATGTTGTAGATGGCTTTTCCCGTTCCCTCTCTTCCCCTCATTCCTTGTAGAAGCTAAAGGAGCGCGTTCACGCCAGGCGGGCCCGGGAGCGCTTTAATGATGAGGACTGTGCGGTGTAGTTAGTGCCTATGCCTAGAGAGCAAATAATTCGCAAATTGACTGTGAGCGTTGGACTGCCTGGATGGCTCGGCCCACTGTTGCCATTAGTGCCTTTCCAAGCTCTGCGATGAGTTTGGAGGAGCTGAGCTCTTCCCAATTTGCCAGGGCGCCCCTTCGTGTCAGACGCGGAGGAGGTTCAGAAGCGTGTGACACAGTGACGAGCCCGCTTGAAAGAGAAGACGCGCCTGTCATCCTCGGCCCCGCTTCGCTGACACAGTTGGGCAACCCCGCGTGTGCCTGTGGGTCATGGCATCTCCCTGTAAATGAGGGGCCAGGGCAATTAGAGGAGGACTGGGAGGACACTAATGGATGTCACCCATCCGCGTGTGTGTTTTACATTTAATTTGGAAATAAAGACGATAAAGGGAGTCTGATGAGGGAACTTAAATGTGACCTGACCTTGGATACCGCGTGCTGGGGCTCACGCTCGTGTTGCCTTTCCCTTGATTGCCTTCAAAAGGTTGCTCCTCGGCAGAGTACGTCCGCGGTTGGGGCGCCCAACGTGTTTAATTTCGTTTCAAAGAACGTCAGGGATGTAAATGCAAGAGAGGGACTGCCTTTCCACTGCCCCAGTGGACACATCCCAGAGTGTGCGAGTGTGGTCCTGACGCGGCAGCTGCATTACTGGGGCCTGCAGACTCTTTTCTCTGCACCATGCACGCTCTTTCACAGCAGTTGCTGCCATTGGCCGCTGTCAGGGTCTGGAAGTGTAGTGGATAGTATCAGATCTGCCAGCCAAGTTTGCAAATGTAAATCAGAGGAGAGTTGACCAGAGCTGCCTCCCAGCCCACATGCGCACGCTCGCTCTTCTCTGGGGCAGGGATCCCCGCTAGCTCTTTTTTTTGCAGTTCTTCTTTGCTGTGGCCGTTCATTTGCGGGGGTTGTCCTTGACATTAACAGGAGTCCTATAGTCAGCTTCTGTGGGTGAATTACAAAATATGCGGAGAAGTGAATTGTACTGTAATAAAATTCTGGTTCGACCATTTCTCAGCAAGTGGATTTACTATAAAACTTACCGGTTATTTGTATTTCTTCTGTGGACTTCTCTTAGGATATCGGCAAACATCACATATTAGACTGAAAGCTAAAGAAATTGTATTTTCCCTTTCTTCTTTGGTTAATAACCATTCCTTTCTTCTTCCTAACCAGTTATGGGAGGTTCCTCACTTCATATCTGATAAAAACTGGGCCTCTCTTAAAAGTACACACACACCCCCACATACACAGTACATTCTGAGTACAGCTGCAGAGTCTCAACCCGGGACATCCCTCTGTAGTTTTATGAAACTAGCATCATCTTAACAGCATCCTTCTCCACTCTCTGACTTCTAAAAGACCGCCATCTCCACTCTCTGACTTCTAAAAGACCGCCATTGATATTTTTTCCTCTCTCACAGTTACTGCTTGTCACCTCCGATACAGCCTGGAGAGTGGCTCCCATATTTCTTGACTTGGGGATAAAAAATGTAGAGGAGAGAGAGAGAAGGTTCTAATAATAATGTATTTGGCCAATTAAATAAAGTCCAATATTACTATATTGTTTCCAGAATTTTAGCTTGATGGCCAACTCTACGTGTCCTGTTTTGTTTGTTTGTTGTTGTTTTTTGCTTTTAAAGAATTGCATTTTTCATTGAGGACAATGGAAAATGTAATTCTGGAATTTGGGACTTGTTTCTCAAAGCCAGTTCTGAAGAGTTTGATGATATTCTTAGTCCCCGCTCATTTTTCGTCTACATTTTAAAAAAATCATGTTGAGTCTCAGTCTGGAAAGGATCTGATTAGATGAATATTTGCAATACGTCTGATCTTAATGAAAAATACCTTGATACCTCAAAAATATTTATTTTGCATTTTTATTTTTTCATTTTACTGACAGCATTTAAAAATATTTTTGTTCTTTTTTATTATGAAAGAGTTTACACATATACAAAGGGACAAAAAATACAATTTTTAAAAATCCATGTAATAATGGTAAAATGTCTGCTTTTTGTATTTCCCTCATAATGTTTCCTTAGAAATAAGCCTTATTCTTCTAACAGTGCTTTGTAAAACTTTTTGTAAAAGTACATTGTGTTCCAAACATTTTGAAAATACAGAAAAGAATAAAAAAGGGAATTGTAATTGTTCTTAGTGTTAACCACCCAGAAATAATATTTATGTTTTGCTGCGAATCTTACCGTCCTGTCTCCTTTCCCCTTTTCTCCCTCTCTTGTCTGTCTTGTATCTAGGAAATAATAACCATTCTTACTTTTCACCTTTTTGTGTAGACAATCAAATTCTCCACCCCCCATCAGACGCCAGCCCACCTGGAGCCGATCCTCTCTGGTACGTATAAAATATTCAGCAATCAAAAGTAGTCTGTGTGCTGGGGATGGAGTGTCCTTTTGTTGCTAATTTGAGAGGAGAGGTGATTGGTGCATTATGACCAGGTGAGATCAGGTGAGAATGCAGAAGGGTGTAAGTCTTCCAAGTAGGTGTGACGTATATCCGTTTTGCCCCATTGTGCCCATCATGTCCATCACTTCTCCAAGTGTGGCTGAAGGTTCATCCCGTGAGTAAGTCTTATTCTGGGGGATGAGACCATGTTCCTTCAGCATGTAACCTACTGTTTCAATCCACTTGTTCTCATCTGCTGTTTTATCACCGTTTTTGCTTGTTACATGTAGGCATGTCTTTAGATATCAGCTCCACAATTTCTTCTGTATTCATTGCCATAGATAGAACTTAATAAACTAATCAGAAAATGCTTTTCAGGTTTTTTACTAATTTTTTTAAAGAGAGAGAAGAGAGAGAGACAGAGAGACAGAGAGAGAGAAACATTGGCTGTGAAAGAGCTAATATGCTAATTAGACCGAACAGCCAAACGACCATTCATTTGGACGACTGTCCAGACGACCTTACAGAGGAAGCCGGGGCTGCGAGGGGCTGCTAGGGCCGAGCCCCTTGCACGAATTTCGTGCGTTGGGCCTCTAGAATAAAAATAAAATGGATCATGTTTTTGGTTGGGCGAGGGAAGGGCTTGATTTGATTGACAGGAAGCTAAGATCTACTGAGATTAAATGACTTGCTCTGAATCACATGAGCAAAATATGATTTTATTTCCTTTGCTGGCTCACCAAATATTAAATTCGTCTAGCATTTTTTTTTGTTCTTTAAAAGTTTTACCATCCTCTGCAGATGGAAGTTATTCAGACTGAGTCTGAATGGCCATTTTAAAGAGTCTTCGGGAAAAGCTTCTTCACTGGAGGGGTAGATGGTAGATGGTTGGATTCTCTACATTTGGTTCTGCAATGGGAGGGCCAATATGTGGTCCCAAGAGCTACATGCTCATTGTTGCGGATCATGGTTCTGATTTTTACATCAGTTTGCAATTGGGCCCAGCCCAATACTACCCTGTCCCTCTTCGAGGTTGCTGTGGCGCTGTGACCTGGGTCATAGGTGCAGCTGTGATGATGTGTAGGAGTTCACGGCTCTAGGAGGGAGCCAGTTTTGAACAGAGTGAAACAGGGTGCACCCTTATTCTCATTACTTCTTATGTGGACCATAGTAATACATGTGTTCTGTGTTATTCCTTAAAGAAAGGCATCATCTACTTTACACAGTGTTCCCCCTGATATGACGGTCCAACCACTGTGCGTACACCTGAAACTAATACAAAATGATATTGAATGTAAACTGTAATTGAGAAATAAGATTAAAAAGTAACAATGACTGTCATTTGTAGATCAGTATTGTCTCGTGTACTTAGAGAAAAAAAACAATTTGTTTCTTGGAGAGAGTGGGTTTCTTTGGTCACACTAAAACTTCTCTAGAAACCCAGCATGTTCTAGCCATTGTTAATGTATTTTACTCACATATAAACTTTTGTCCTATTAAAAAGAGGCATTGGGAGCTTTGCAAGTATATTAGAAAATAGATTATAAATAGATATATTCATGTTGATTGTAGCCTCTTTGTTTTTCTCACCTTGAACCAGCCATCTTGTTTCTTCAGTCCTGACTTAGGGATGAGGAGGGGGTACGGAGGAGAAGAGGGGTGGGTCAGGGGTAGACGGCAGAGCGGCCCCAGCCTGCTCCCCTGCAGACGCCGGGGACTGTTGTGTGCTCGGCTGGCTCTGTGGCAGCGGAGGGCCCTTTGTGAGAGGCCTACCCACCTGTGCTGTTCTCTGTTTCAGCCCCGGCAGCAGCCGTACATCTTGCCTCCCATGCACGTCCAGTGTGGAGAACACTACTCGGAAACACACACTTCGCAAGGTAACGCTGGCTTGCCATTTTCCCTTCTCCGGGTGAACGGTTGAGGACGGGGAAGCAGTAAAGAAGACTTTTTAAAAAGAGGATAGTGATGCTTTCAATTTTAATATTGTCATTGTCTGAATGGCAGCAAGCGATTTGTGAAAAGCAAAGAATATCGCTTACCCCTGAGAGAGGAATTGCCCCAGAATTGGCTGCAAAAGGGAGCTGGAGAAGGCAGCGAGCAGGGTTCTCTTCTCCTCCGTAGAGAAGAGGGAGTGGCAGCAAAGCCCACGGGGGTACCCTTGGCCCTCACTGCCAGTATCACAAAGCCCGTCACTGTCGGTCAGGTTTTCAGGCGGACAGAGAATACAGGCATCCAGAACAATTGAAAGAAATATACAAATAATCTCAGCCCTTCTCATTAGCTGTTGCTTTCCGTCTCTCCTGCCAGCCCCTCTCTCCCAGCACTTATAAAGGAAACCTGTTATATTCCTCTCTTTTAACTCATATGCAAAATATGTGGGGGAAAAAACCATTCCAATAATTATTGTAATAATAATAATTAACATTTATAGAGGAAGTCCTCTCCTTCGGCACTGTTCTCAGCACCTTCAATAATCCTCAAAATAAACCTAGGAGATGAGATAGGGATTACCATTATTTCCAATTTACAAATATAGGATTGGGATGCAGGAGGGTATTGGAGGGGCTTGGATACAAAAATCAGTGTCTTGACCCTCAAGCCGGTGCTCTTGCTCGTGACACCACCTGCATCTCAAAGAAGGAATGGCATTAGATGTTGAATATTGACCGTGTGAAATGGAAAATGTCTTTCTGCATTATCCTGTGCTGGCTATTTTTAATCTCTCTGCACTGTTAGTGTGCGCATGAAAACTAAGACAATTAAGAGACCATCTAAAATGTAATAAAATATTACTGTGTATAAGCAGACTAGCACAGTAACCCTGCTTCCCTGGGCAGGCACCAGACCCCACCTACCAGTAGAGGCAGAGAAATGCAGCCTTTGTCTCTCTGGTCACCTGGTTTATCCCGACTGTCTCATCCCACCTGGTCTGTGACCACACCCCTCCCCCTCAGCGGCAGAGCATTTACAGCCACCTTTTCTGCCTTTGTTTCTCTACTTGGCTCATGCTTACATCTGTGGGGTGAAACATGCATGTAGTTTGCTCACAGAAAAGTTTTGGCAAGAAGTTGCCTCCCTAGGGTGTGTGTGTGTGTGTGTGTGTGTGTGTGTGTGTGTGTGTAAGGAACATTGGACGCCTGAAATGGTTCTTACTTTCTATGTTCTAGCTCGTTAGGTACCTCCTTAAGCCGTGATTAAGTTTCATGTGGCCTGGGCTCGGTGATGAGATCAGGTCTAGGGGAGAGCGTTCGGCAGTGGCTGGGAGAACTCTTGGTTCCCATTTTGCCCTCAATTGATTGCTGGTCAGGTGTTGGCCTTGCCTGCTGACCTCCGGGCTACATTATCTTTATGTTGGCTTAGCAGTCCCTCTGATTGGTAAAGGGACCTTTCTCATTTTAGATCAGTTCCACGAACACAGTAACTTCAGATCTATTGCCCTGTTAACCAGTTAACTGCCACGGTATTTTGAATTTAATGGAAAAAGGTCCGCCGCTTGCGTCTATGGATGCTTATGGCGTACAAACCGTTCAAGTTCTTGGCTTCTTGGCCCAGATAGCCATCCTGAAGCGGAGCCCTGAACAAGAGAACAGGTCAACCCAACACGGAGGCCACACTTCCTGCCTGATTTCAATGCTCATGGCAAAATCGAGAACTTACCAAGGGCCATGTATTCCAAATGTTCATTGCTTTCTTTGTTTAGATTCGCTTTTCCTTCTCAGGATGCTTTAGAATGTCCCTTCTGTATATTGGCACCTCATCCAGGAACTGTCCAGGTTTGATGGAATGTGGGTGGAGCCCATGGGTGTGCACTTGCTAGGACTTCTTTAGGTCAAATGTCACATAACCTAAGCTGTGACTTAGGTGAGGATAGACTTGATGGCGTGGTGGTTCACGGGCCTTTGTTTGACCTCTTGCAGACAGCATTTTCCATGGGAACGAAGATGCCTTCTACTGCAACTCCCACAACAGCCTGGACTTAAATTATTTAAACGGCACCATCACCAACGGCAGCGTGTGCAGCGTCCACAGCATCAACTCCCTGAACTGCTCCCAGAGCTTCATCCAGGCGTCGCCCGTCTCTTCCAACCTCAGCATCCCCGGGAGTGACATCATGCGGGCTGACTACATCCCTAGCCACCGGCACAGCGCCATCATCGTGCCGTCGTACCGGCCGACCCCCGATTACGACACGGTCATGCGCCAGATGAAGAGGGGGGTCGTGCACACGGACAGCCAGAGCCAGTCCCTGCGGAACCTCAACATCCTCAACACGCATGCCTACAACCAGCCGGAGGACCTGGTGTACAGCCAGCCCGAGATGCGGGAGAGGCACCCCTACACTGTCCCTTATGGGCCCCAGGGGGGCTACGGCAGCAAACTTGTGGGTCCGTCCGACCAGATAAACCCAAAGAATAACTCGGTGCCCAGCAAGCCGGGGGCCAGCGCCATCTCCCACACGGTGAGCACCCCGGAGCTGGCCAACATGCAGCTGCAGGGCACGCACAGCTACAACACGGCCCACATGCTCAAAAACCATCTCTTCAGGCCGCCGCCCCCCTACCCGCGGCCCCGGCCCGCCACCAGCACCCCGGACCTGGCCAGCCACCGCCACAAGTACGTCAGCGGCAGCAGCCCCGACCTGGTGACCCGCAAAGTGCAGCTGTCGGTGAAGACCTTCCAGGAGGACAGCGCCCCGGTGGTGCACCAGTCCCTGCAGGAGGTGAGCGAGCCGCTCACGGCCACCAAGCACCACGGCACGGTGAACAAGCGCCACAGCCTGGAGGTGATGAGCAGCATGGTGCGGGGCATGGAGGCCATGACGCTCAAGTCCCTCAACATCCCCATGGCTCGCCGCAACACGCTCCGGGAGCAGGGGCCCCCCAAGGAGGTGCCCGGGGGCCACGAGGTCCCCCAGCTGCCCCAGTATCACCACAAGAAGACCTTCTCGGACGCCACGATGTTGATCCACAGCAGTGAGAGCGAGGAGGAGGAGGAGCCCGCGGCACCGGCGCCCCGGATCCCCGGGCTGCGCGAGAACATGGAGTACAGCGCCCAGCTGCAGGCGGCCTTAGCGCGGATCCCCAAGAAGCCCCCGCCTGAGTACCCCGGCCCCAGGAAGAGTGTCAGCAATGGGGCGCTGAGGCAAGACCAGGTCAGCGTCCCCCCGGCCATCGCCAGAGCCAGGGTGCTGAGGCACGGGCCGGCCAAGGCCGTCAGCGTCTCCCGAGCCGACCAGCTGGCCGTCAACGGGTCCTCCCTCGGGCCGTCCATCTCGGAGCCCGACCTGACCAGCGTGAAGGAGCGGGTCAAGAAGGAGCCCGTGAAGGAGAGGCCGGTGTCGGAAATGTTTTCCCTGGAGGACAGCATTATAGAAAGAGAGATGATGATCCGGGTAAGTGTCCTCCCCTCCCGGGCCATCTGTGGGGACAGTTCACACGCTGGTCTCCCCCGCAGCCTTCTCTGCTTTTTGTCCCTGAGAAAGTTCACAGCGGAAGCACTTGTCGCAGACACTGAAGAAGGTGCGAGGTGTGTTCAGGGACAGGTTAGGGAGGTAGAGGGTCACTTGGCATTTAAACAGGTGGCATTTTTCACAAAACTTTGTGCTTGCCCCTTCAAATACATCTTCCATTCTCCTACACGGATGCCGATGGGTACGCTTGGTACAAAGTGCAGTCATGGAGTTAGGATGTTCCAGGCCGGTGGTGTTGAGGTTGAGGTCGTGGCCAGTATTTTGCTGTTTATTCAGGATCCGACTTCCTGTGTGAGCTGCCAGGAGCTCACCTTCCTGCACCGGTTGGTGTTTTGTTTGTGTGTGTGTGTTTTTTCCCAGGGGAAAGCTTTTTCCCTCAGTTAGATATTAAAAGAACAACATCTCCTGAGAGTTTTTCGTATCTATGAGTCTATATGTCAGGATGGCTCGCCAATATTGACCAGCCTGTGTGCAGCGTGTCAGCTTGAGTTTCAGATTTTTTTTCAATAGACGGTTAACACAAAGCCAAGAAAGTTATAGTAAACTTGGAAGTTTACTGTTGAGCTGCAATTCCCCATTAACCTTAGTCTATTAAGAATTCAGATACATGTATGTGAATGCACATACACACATGTACACACACATGCACACACATGCACACACACATGCACACACACATGCACAGTGGGAATCAACCTGCAAAGAACCGTCAAGGGCCAATGTTTAAGGAAGCCAAGTTCCTGGGTTCAGAATCTAATCTGCAACAACTTCATTACTTCAGACAAACCTTCGAGCATCTTCAGCCTCACAGATGGCCCAGGTGTAACTGTTCCCACAGTTGGCAAACCCAGAGGGAACTTGTGACAGATGTGCTTGGGCCTCTCGCAGTACAACCTGTGGGCTGGGAGAGGAAATGCGAGGTGGTTGCCTCAGGGGAGAGCTTTCCCAGCTTGGAAAAGTGATTTATTGGCAGAAAAGGGTTTTCGGCACTTCTTGGCCCCAGGCTCCTTTAACACAGCTCAGCCTGTCAGTCTACACTTTGCTCACTTGATACTTACTGATGCCTCCACGGTCCCTTCCCGTTGCCTCATTTTGGTCAAATCCCTCCACTTCCCTTGTTACTCGTGTTAAACAAAAGCCTGCAGCCAACCCCATGGTGCTGGTTCCCTACCTGGAGCTTCAGGCCTGACACTAAGGAGCAGGGGTTCCCACTGTGTCCCACATGCTGTCCCATCCCGTCCAGGGGGTCATCGTGACCCCATCCCTACTTCATTCTCCCCGTTGAACTTTTCCCAAATCCTGTCTACTCAGGAGCTCAAGGACTCCTCCCTGGGCTGGTGTCCCGGCCTCAGAGCAGGTTGAGGAGGTTCTTTAGCAAACCAGTGTGCCAGGCACGATGGTGACAGTGCCAGGTGGTTCTGCACCTGACTTTTTATGAAGAAACAACCCCAACCTCCTCCCCATATCTCAGATGCTTCTCTGCCCTCCGCACCGATGGGCAGCTTTTGCTGGGCTTCTCAGGAATAGATGATAAGAGAAGGCTGCCTGGGCCTCTCCAGGGTAAGAGCAATGAGAAAGTTACACCCGATGGGAACCGAAGGGACAGGCATGGTGAGAATTTGCCCTGCAGCCAACTCTCCATAACTCAGGAGCTGCTGGTGTGTTGAATGGTTGACTCAGGCCTGCTGTCTCCATCGCTCCTCTTTCTGGCCCCTACTGTGAAATTCATGGGTCCTCTTCTCACGTTGTCGCAGTTAATCCTCCTCTGAGAAGCTCTGTTTGTAGGTCTGAGGGGTCGGCCAGTCCCTGGTGGAAGTGTCATAACTTCACAAACCAGGGCTCCATTCCTACTGCAGGGGGCACTGAGGGGATGAATGTGATGCCATCCTCTGCACCCATGGTTCTAACAAGACACTGCTCTCTGGGGAATAAATTTATAAATGATAGACTAAGAAAAAAAATACCTAAAAGGTTTGAAAAGAAAGCAAGGGTAAGATGATCCCCTCACCTGTGGTGGCCGGAAGAGTCTGCAAATTGGTTCTTCTGTTTGCATCAAAATCTCAAACTGTAACACTCATCTGTTTGTATGCTTTATTTTTTAAAAATATGTTTTTATTGATTTCAGAGAGGAAGGGAGAGAGAGAGAGAGAGAGAGAGAGAGAGAGAGAGAGAGAGAGAGAGAAAGAGAGAAAGAAACATCAGTGATGAGAAAGAATCATTGATTGACTGCCTCCTACAGGCCCCACACTGAGGATCGAGCCCACAACCCAGGCATGTGCCCTGACCAGCAATCGAACCGTGACCTCCTGGTTCATAGGTCGACACTCAACCACTGAGCCACATCGGACGGGCTGTTTGCAGTCTTTGCTCTTATTTGTTTGTTGTATGTTCGTTTATTCATCTGCTTTAAACTAAAAGCGCAGGAGTCCCGGAGGGACGGGCTTCCTCAGGCACGGTGGGAATTAATGGGTAGGCTGTGTTTGAATTCGCCCTACTAATGGTGGTTGTCTGCATTCCTTGGCTGGGGAGTTACAGATTTGGGGAGATTAAAACACATTCCAGAATTCTCCCGGTATTGTAAACAATGAGAACATGCCTTTTCTTGCCACAAGAATCTAGAGAAGCAGAAGATGGCAGGCCTGGAGGCGCAGAAGCGGCCTCTGATGTTGGCAGCGTTGAATGGCCTCTCGGTGGCGCGGGTCTCGGGGCGGGAAGACGGCCGAGTTGATGGCACCCGGATTCTCATGGACGAGAGGGTAAGCCCTGGGCGTGTCAAGCATGTGATTCATTCCCTGTGCTCTTCGGATTCCTGAGCTCGCTCTTTGCCCGAACATGCCAGCGCCGAGGTTTATGGGATGAATCAATTCTTCAGGTTGAGATTAGCAAGACGTAGTCTGACTGTGTTGTGTTAAATGGGTCCCTACCAAGTTCCTACTGTTCCTTTGTCAAGGTGGCGCGGTGATGACCGACCGAGAGACCAGCCCCTAACGGGCCATAGGGCCTGGGTCAAGCCACTCATTTTCTTCGGGCCTCTTTCCCTTTTTGCAAACCCGAGAAAGTTGCAAAAACGATTGCTGTCACTCTCAGGGTCTGTGATGTGTATGAATGGTCAGCATTTATTAGGAAGTGAGTCGTTTACCCAAGCATGTATAGAATTCTCTGTAACGCCATCCCCTCCACCCACGGTCAGAATAAGGTGCATGTTAGTGTTTCCGAGGTGGGGAAAGTGTTCCTTTAGCACCTGAAATTGCAATCAGGGGTTAAAGAAACAGGTTTCGAGTGCTCATAACATCAGGGTTTTAGATTCCTGTCCGTATATATGAAGTATCAGAATGTTTTTAAAGCCAGGAGGGATTTCAGAGGAATCATTTAATCCAATCAGTGCCTTTTATTGTAATTAGTAGTTTGGCCGTGGGAAAAATAAAGCGAGAGGGGGGTATAATCCCCAGAACTGCAGGACTATGGACCAACATTATCTTAATATTCATCTCAGTAAAATGGGCTGGATACGTGGAGAAAAGGGGGTTTGGATCATGAAGAATAACCATCTCCTCACATTAAGACTTTAAACAGAGGTGTTAGTGACACAAATACCAATTTTGAACTTCACCTCTTGCCTGGCTTTGCTGATTCGTCCTGTTGAAGCTGTGAATGAGAAGGAAATTGGTGGTTGGACAAGAGAAACTAGCACTGTGGTTACTAATGAGACCAAATCACCAAGCATTTGTTGGGCATCTTGACACTGCTTAACTAGCAGCCTCACTGTCAATATTTAAAGAAACCCAGTGGTTTTGTTGGGATTTTGGGGTGCAATCGGTCAGTGAGCTGAAGGTTCATTTCTGTTGCAGTTCAGGACCCTGAAGAAGAAGCTGGAAGAGGGCATGGTGTTCACAGAATACGAGCAGATCCCAAAGAAAAAGGCCAATGGCATTTTCAGCACAGCGGCTCTGCCAGAAAATGCCGAGCGCAGCCGGATCCGCGAGGTTGTCCCCTACGAGGAGAATCGCGTGGAGCTGATACCGACCAAAGAAAACAACACAGGTTACATTAACGCCTCCCATATCAAGGTGAGCCGGGGAGCGTGCTGGGAAGGTTTGTGGAAGATGCCGGGGGTTAAAGGTAAAAATGCCGGGAGCGAAAAATGTAGGACGGCTGCCACTGTGCATCTTGGCTTGTCCCCAGACCCCGAGGGAATGTTTTTGAACTTCTGGGCTTTTCTGACTCAATGGGAAGGGCATGCCCAGCACTGCAGACAGAAGGAAGCTGGCGGCCTTGGCAGAAGCTCGGGTCAGCTATTTCTGAAGCTCGCTCTTTACAGAGGATTTAACTTTTTCTCCTCTCTGTGGGTTATAACTCTCCCCCAAACTCACAGGAGAACCTGAGGTCTGTCCTTTTCCATTTGTAATGAGGGGACGATGGAGAATTTGGAAGTCACAGGCATTATCTTACTGTCGCTGGAGCTTTTGTGATGCTCAGGAGTCACAAAACGTACCATTCTCCCTGGTAATACGACAGGTGATGCGTTTGACACCTGACTTTGTCCCCAAGTTGCATGATGTGTAGAAGAGCGGGCGAATGTAATCATAAACCATGGAGGTGTGCTTGCCAGTGACTTGCAAGATTTGCCTCCTTATCCAGTGCGTTAGGGTCATTCAATTTCTGTTAATATTTCAGAAACTTAAACCTTTTTATCTCAGTATTTCATAGACTTGAAAATTAGTCAGCTTAGTTTGGCCCCGGTTAGAATTCAGAGATAAGGATGCTCGTGTTAGATGTTTCCTAAATCGCTTACCTTTCTCAGTGTCCCTGATAACAGAACATACGTGTTTAAATCGTCACTGTTTGCTCTGCCGTCTGAAATAGGAGAATTTATGCACATACCGCTGTTAAAGCAGTTGTTACGGGACGTTTTTAAACAGGATAAGGCTCACATTATGAGTCCGGTATGATCAGTAACCTTAGAAACCTGTTTCTGGCTTCGTCCAGGGTTATTTCCTTTCCTCATTGGGCTTTTCAACTGTAGCCAGATCCTTGGTAGATTCCTTTGAGCCTCCAAAACACAGCCAGATGTCTGGCTCCTGTATCGGTTCTAACAGTTTTGAATCAAAATATGAAAAGTGAACCAGGGTGTGGGGTGTAATGTTTTTGCACACAGGGCATAGATAACCATGTATATTTTTTTAATGTATCAGGAAGTACTGTCAAAAGAAATATGAAAGAGCATCATCCTGGATCAGGTTGCATATTTTACTCTCATTTTTGAGAATGAGAAGGAAAACAATAAAAAAAAACGAGCCCCAGGAAACGAGTCTTAAGTAAACCGATGATGGTGCGTGTCATGGGCTTCGTCTGGCTTGACAAACAGTGGCCAAAATAATGTGGTCAAACAAGGATGCGGCTCCCACAGCTGCTTTGTGATAGAAAGTCTATGGAACTCTTCTGTGGCGATGTTTTACTGTCTTCTTCTGTGGCCCAGTCTCCCCTCCCATTTTCCATCTGCTGCCTGGAAAAAGCTGTCCCTGTGCCTCAGCCGTGCCCACGGGGTGCACTGAGCAGAGGCATTCCCTTCCTCAGTGTTCTCCGGGGCCCACATTTCATCTTGCGGATCTGGGTTAGACATGGGTGCGTTTCATAGACCCGCAGAGCTTGCAAGAACTTGTCGGTGCAGTCGGAATCGAGCCGTGTACCTTGCCAACGTTTGCTCCCCGGGTTCCAAGCCGCCGTTAACACAGAGCAGATTGATTTGCTCCAGAGGTGGAATCACATCTGTGAAATCTACCTCCGTAGCCTTGCTGGTTGTGTTTTTAATGCCGTTTTTAATACCCTCCTGTCAATACTTGGAATTTGCTGAAGGCCCCAGGCAGCAGCAGCCGCCTCTGCGAGTATTTACGGTTCCTATATGTTGGATGCCAGGGAGGCTAATGTTTAAAATCACAGCTCCACAGACAACCCAGCGCCTCGCCAGCCGGCAGCTATATGGATGCTATCTCCCCTCGGAAGCTGGAAAACGAATCTGGCTTGCCAGCGTTGACCTAAACATGCCTTGTGTAATGAGACAATTCACTGACGCTGTTTTTTGTTTGAATCAAGTTGGCATATAGTTTCATAAAACAAATGAGGGGGGGAAAGTTTCAAACAATGATCACTTCATTGCTCCCAGAACTATGTAGAGATCTGCACTGGTGGAGTGTGAGGGGCCTGACTTTGCAATGCCAAGGCACAGGAATGGAAGGGGACATGAAAGAGTCCTCGCAAAGGCCACCATCTCCCCCGGACGGCACGGCCTTCAGCACTCAGCTCACAACTTACTATGGCTGTCCGCTGCTGAAATTTACAGCTGCAGAATTCTCCTCCCAAGGCCACCCTGAGCTGTATGGGGTAATGATTTGATTTTCTAAAACCATCTCACGGCTCTGAAGTTTGGCTGGACGCTGTGAATGGCAGAACATCATGTGTGGTTGACTTAAGTGCCTTCATGACGCCTCCACCGTGTGTGGCACAGGGAGTGGCGGGTACAGCCGAGGTTCATGACATTCTTGGCATCAGGTCCGCAGCAGCAGAAAGACATTCCTCCTGGAGGGTGTTACTCCATGGTGGACGTCATTATTTGAAAGGATGCCGCAGAACACTGTTTCTCAAACTGGGGGTCACGGTATAGCAGTGGGGTGTAGAGTCCATTTAGAGTCAGGACCAGTTTGGGTGGTGGTGGTGTATTTTTTGTTTGTAAACAGACTAGAATAGAGAAAAGAATGGAAATGATCAAAGTGCATTGCACACAAGCATCACTCGTTTCTGTAATAAATTCTGTTAGGCTACACACACACACACACACACACACACGTGCATATTCACCTAACGTGTGTGTGTATGTGTGTGTGGATATGTTTATGTATATGTGTGCTTTTAAAAAATGCACTGGTTTGTGCATAATTCCTGGGGGTTGCGGTAAGAAAAAAAGATTAATAGCATTTTCATGTGAGAATGTCTCCATCGCCCCCTGTGGCCTCAGGGGTTTTGATGTTGGCACAGAGCCATGTGGCCACCCGTGGTCAGCAGGTACCTCGGTCCTGGATTGGGGGCCGCCTCACCGATGCTTTCCTTGGTTTGCAGGTGGTGGTTGGCGGGGCCGAATGGCACTACATCGCCACGCAGGGGCCCCTGCCGCACACGTGCCATGACTTCTGGCAGATGGTGTGGGAGCAGGGAGCCAACGTGATCGCCATGGTCACCGCGGAGGAGGTAAGGGGAGTGGCCGGCAGCCCCCTGTTCCAGGGGGCGGGGTGGCCAGAAAATGGGCTTCGTGTCGGGGACTTAGCTGCTCCGTGCTGCTTCCTGCGGCACCATTTCTCCGCAAATCCTCTTCCTTTGGCATGGCACGTGTCTCCTCTTCTCAATTCCACGTAGACGGGTTTCATTTCCCAAAGATAATCTGTTGGCTCCCATTTTCGTCAACTTTTCACTCTTTTCCCTGCATTGCCACGAACGGAAATTAAACCAAAAAGAACCAGCTCCTTTTTGTGTGCCAAACAACACCATCCATAGTCTTTGCCCTGCGACTCGAGAACCTGGGCTGCTGTGGGTGAATCGGCACATGTTCCAGCCACGGCCATGGCCGGCTGACATCCCTCATGCTTATCGCAGAAGGAGCCCGGAGCTGTGGGGCCTGTAGAGGTCTTTATTCTTTAGGGAGAGAAAAGTAAGGTGTTTTCTTCCTTTGCCAAGTCACACAGATGTTCTGTTGTAATAGAGACGTCTACGTTATGAAAATGGGCGCACACCACCGAGCAGTTCACCGGGGGTTGCTGTCTTTGGGGGGGGAAGACGTTTTAGGTTTCTTTTCTTGTCACTTGCTCAGTGTTTTATCTTAACCACTTAAGGGACTAGCTTCGTGTGGTTTTGACCAATACTTATGGGGTTACCCTTTTGCTAACCATTTTTAAAGGTGGGGAACAGAGATCACTGAAAAAAGTCACATTTTCTTCATGGACTGTTCGTAGTAGTTGCTTTTCAGAACAGCCCATTGGAAGATAGTGGTGGCCCTGGCTGGGTGGCTCAGTTGGAGCGTCGTCCTGTACCCCAGGTTGCGGGTTCGATTCCCAGTCAGGTCACATACCTAGGTTGAGGGTTCGATCTCCGTTTGGGGCGCATACAGGAGGCAACCGATTGGTATTTCTCTCTCACATGGATCTCTCTCTCTCACTGAGGTCTAATAGAGAGAGCCCTAGGCTGAACATCAGAAATGCAGAGTGTGACCTGTATTGACCACTAAGACGCGGTCACTCCCCTGCCTGAGGTCACTCCATCCCCTTGGACAGCTTCCCACTGTCCTTGGAGTGAAACCCAAACTGCCTCCCATGGACCAGGAGGCCTTTCCGACCTCCTTGCTACCACCTTCCTCCTGTTTCTTTAACACCCAAGCGTGTTCTCACCTCTAGACTTCGCTCTGGCTCTTCTCTCTCTGACATTCAGCTGCAGCTCAGTTGTGAATCTTGTAAATTTTCCGTTGATGTAGCTGCCATTGTACATCTTCTTATGGGTCTTAGCTAAGATTTGTAGGATCTAAGCTGTGATAGACACTGCACAGTGCTACTGAGTTAGTGACTTAGAAGCTATTCACGTTTCCTCCTATCCTCAGATTTTAAGATTAAGAGGATAAGCGCTTGCTTCCCTTGACTAATTTCCAACTTTACTTTTGTGTGTGATTCAGGAGGGCGGACGCACCAAGAGCCACCGATACTGGCCCAAGCTGGGTTCCAAGCACAGCTCAGCCACCTATGGCAAGTTCAAGGTCACCACGAAGTTCCGAACAGATTCTGGTTGCTATGCAACCACAGGCTTGAAGGTCAAGCACCTTTTGTCCGGGCAGGAAAGGACGGTGTGGCATTTGCAGTACACTGACTGGCCAGATCACGGCTGCCCGGAGGATGTCCAAGGATTTCTGTGTAAGTGTTCTCTTCCCAGCCAGGGTTTTACCAACTGTGTCAGTGGTCTGATCTGTTGGAGGTGAAATGGAAAGAGAGGACGCTCTCTATTAAGTGGCAAAAGTATTATAACAGGGACGTATCTGTCCCTTCTTATGTGGAACAGAGAAGACAAATATATGTCACTTACCATATTCTCTTTACCTTTTATGCAAGTAAGCTACTAAAACTGTGGTAAACTAATTGATTCCACCTTGATTTAGAACTTCACTCATGAATAATTATTCGGATACATGTTTGAACCTTGAAAACATGCTACATAAGCCCTGGTTGGTGTGGCTCAGTTGATTGGGCATCGTCCCACCTTGAGTTTATTTTGATATTCATTTAGAATGGGAGGCAGAGGGGAAAGAGAGAGAAGACAGGTTTTTAAAAGCCTAAATGTACCATTTCACAAATTCCAACAGAAAGATTTCTGTGCATACTTATACGTTGATAAAGGTGTTTAGTTTCCCACTAACATGATGATGGTGCTGGAGTTAGACACTGAAAGTGGAGAAGAGAAAGGTGATTGGAATCAAAGAATCTAGAGCGTGATGGAGAGGGTTTGTGAGTTGCTGAGATTTGTAGCTCAGATACTAATAAGGGAGGGCAGTGACCTCCGCAGAACTCGCTTTCCTCACAATAGTATTCTTTTTGGTCCTTTCCAGTAATCCTTCCCTAATTGACTAATCAGAATTTTCTCCAAGACACAGAACATGGGAACAATAAAAGTAGAGCACTTAAAAAAAAATAGACCAGTTTGATGATTGACTAACAGCTCTGATAATATAAGATTGAGTCTAAAAGGTGGTTCAAATGATAGCCAAATCTTTAAAATCAGAACCAACTGAGGGAAGGCCAATCTAAATTACTGAAAAAATATAGAAAATATTTTTAAACAGTGTGAGTGCGTTCATTCACATGGCTAAGGGACTCCAGACAGGTGTGTCGAGTCAGGTCCTAGAATGACTTTGTAATGAGATAAGCGAATAAGGAAAACAGGAGTTCTTATTGACTGTATGTAAAACAGATGCATCTAGATAGAATCTAGATGAACCAGACCAGGTTGCATGCCCTTTTTCCTCTTCACCAATTTGACCATTTCCCCGAATCTCATGTATGTAGTTCCATCAGGGTGAGCTTTTTCTGAGTGCCCAGGCCTTCCAGTCTGCTTCTCCCTGAGCCAGCCACTACAAAATCTCAATTATTAATCGACTTTCTCCACTTCCTGGACTGTTTACCCATTTTTTTATACATTTATACCCTTATTTTTTTATGGTCCTGAAGGACAGTGTAATTTTTCATTTGTGCCCCAATGGAGTAGTGAGCAGACCCCCCTCCCCCGAGCCCTGCTCAGCTATGCAGATGCTGGGAGGGATGGGGAAGGTGGCACGACTCCCCCCAAACATGTGGCCTCCAGAAATGGGGCTGGGGCTGGCTTACCTTGAGCTACTCAACCAGTTGGAATCCAAGCTGTAAAGCAGGCCCCCCGATGTCTATTTTAAAATCTAAAAACGAAGTCGAGCCTCGGTTGACATTCGCTCATTCAGGGAGGGGAAGGGAGAGGGCAGATGGAGGCTCTTCCCACCAGACACTGGCGCTGCCAGGCGGGCGTTTCAAGGGGACCTCGCTGGTGCTCTGATCCCCGTCTGTTAATAGGAGGAATTGCTGTAAGTAATGTCGAGTCTCATCTGCTTGGGGGACTTGGGGATTTGCAGAGGGGAAAACCGAATTTAATTTTTAAAAAAGAACTATTTAATTCAAAGAACAAATTCTCCCATGGACTAATTGACTCCCAGCTGGTCCTCTCTGGCTCCGGGACTGTACCGTGGGTACCAGCCAAATAATTAGTGTCTTGTAAGAACTGTAAATCACTGTCACTTAAAAAAAAAAAACGATTCCCCATCCGGTTTGGCTTCTCCCTGCTCCTGAAGGCAAAGCCACGCGGGGCTCGCGTGACGGACGTGCCCTTTGTCTTGCAGCCTACTTGGAGGAGATCCAGTCGGTGCGCCGGCACACCAACAGCATGCTGGAGGGCACCCAGAGCCGGCACCCGCCCATCGTGGTCCACTGCACCGCGGGCGTGGGCCGCACCGGCGTGGTCATCCTCTCCGAGCTGATGATCTACTGCCTGGAGCACAATGAGGTGAGTCTCCCGGGGCCTCCTGAACCCTCCACCTGGGGACAGAGCTGCACCCTGGCCGGGCCTCGCCTGCGCCCTTCTTTCCCGGGGCCCGATACCCTCTGTCCTGACAAGAGCTTTCCACAGCCCTGATCCCTGCTCGGGCTCTGACACTCCCAGGCCTGGTTCTCTTTCGTCTTTCACTGCCCTGTGCTGACACCCATATCATAGAGCAGGGGTCCTCAAACTACGGCCCGCGGGCCACATGCAAATACAAATATTGTATTTGTTCCCGTTTTGTTTTTTTACTTCAAAATAAGATATGTGCAGTGTGCATAGGAATTTGTTCATAGTTTTTTTTAAACTATAGTCTGGCCCTCCAACGGTCTGAGGGACAGTGAACTGGCCCCCCGTTTAAAAAGTTTGAGGACCCCTGTCATAGAGAGATCGGCGTGTGCAGTAGGGACCGACCGGTTAGGAAGTCTGATCTTCGTCGGCATGGACTTCCAGAAGTCGGCAGTGTTGTGTAGACAGTCTGGCTTCATTGCGGGTGCTTTCCCGTGGTGCGTGGTTTGGTCACATGTAGTTTTGATGCATCTGGCGTGTCTGGGATGTGTGTTGGCCTCCAGCCTGTGTGAAAGTGCGTGTAGTGTACAGAGCTTTGGCATCCTTCAGAGGGGTTTTCTCTAAAGGGGGCTGTTGTTGGCTCTGGTCTAGACCGGCAGTGGCTGGATGGCAGAGCAAAGTGGGCATCTGAGTGCCTTTGCCGAGGTCACGCCCAGCTCTTCTCCCTGAAGAAGGGGCTGTGGCCGATGTGGCGCCCACGCGGTGTGTGGCATCCCCTTCCTGCTCTAACCAGGTCTTTACTCTGAGGGGCTTTTGATTTCCTCAAGATGAAACAACAGCCATGGAGGCTAAAGACCGTCTGCTGTTTATTTATATGGGGCTTAGAATGGCTGTCACATTTTTTGTCTTAGTGGGGTCCTCATAGCAGCCATGTAGATGGGGCTGGGCACAGGCCAGTCCTCCTGCTTTACAGATGGGGAAACTGAGGCCCAGACACTGTTCAGTGGCTTGTCCGGAGCCACATGGCTCCGAAGCAGTGGTGCCACGGTGAGAACGAGATCTTCTACCCCCCCCCCCCCCCGACC